GGCAGACAGAGGCAAGGGTGGGATGTGGATGTGTCGTCCCCTTCTGTCCAAGGTGCCATCCCTACCAGCACGTGCGACCCCACTCCCCTGGTAGCCCCTGCTCCCTGGACAGCTCGTCCATCCCCCAACAGGACCTCGGGGCTTTCTTCTGCCTCTCCTGATGATGGAGGAGCATATTTGGGTGGGTAGGGAGGGTGTGAAGCAACAGGGCAGGGGTCTGCAGGGCTGCTGCCTGTATGTCCCCCACGAAGCCCATGAGCATCCCTGCGCACTATCGGCTGTTCCCACCATTCCCAGCCCAGAGTGGAGAAGGGCAGCACAGCCATCTCCACAGCAGCCATTTCTGCTGGTGGGGACAGACAGAAACCCCCTCTCCTCCCTGTCCTGGGGAACAAACCCAGCTCACAGCAGGTGCTGAGTAACCAGCACCCCAGGCTGAGAATGAGCATCACTGAGCATCAGCTCTGGCGAGGATGCAACTGAGGGAGCAGCAGTGCTGGGACCAGCCTCCCTGGTCAAACCAGTGATGCTCTGAACCACAGAACCAACAAGCTGGGTCTCTCACCTCACCTTCCCTGACAATTTGCTTTTCTGGGAGAAGGGCAACTCTCCATGTCAGCCTTAGAGATCTCTGAGAGTCTGTCTGCCAGCAGTGCGGGCAGCAGGTAGGGAAAGACTCTGCATGGCATTACAGGCTTTACATTTACACTTTATACTGAGAGTCAACATGGGGCCAAGTATTTACCCTGCACCTGCAAGGCTGTGGCACAGCAGCACTGTGTGCTCAGCCCAGCCCGCCACAGAGCACCACAGCCCCCAGGGCTGCTCCCCAACCAGGTCCTCAGTAGGAACCTTTGCCATAGCCCTTTGCCAACCTGGATGGGGAAGCTGCAGATGTTAACCCCCTTAAGCCCTTTGGCACTGGGGCTGGAGAAGGGTGCCAGGGGACACAAGCCATCCCACTGCAAACTCCCAGTTAAACACAGGCTCCACTGGTGTGCAGGCAAAGCTGCCTTCAGAGCTGAACACGAGCCCTGCACCGCTCCAGCATAACCTCCCCGTGTCCAGGGCTGGCGGTGGGGGGAGGCGAGGGAAGAGGTGCAAAGGTCTCCTGCTTTAATAAATAACAGCGCTGGAATTCGCAGCGGCTGTTTGCGAGCTCGAGGCAGAGCTCTCCCCACCCCCCCAGTCCTCGCCGGATTTACAAAAAAAAAAAAAAAAATTAATCCTGTGTGATGACAAGCTTGGCTCAGCGTTCACTGTACATACTGTACCCACAAAGCTGGCTGCCTGCCAGGGACAGGCTGTGAGCCAGCGCGACCATAACAAACACAAGCCGTGCGTGCCACTGCTGGGGGAGCAGCATCCTCAGCCCCGGGCCGGGGGGGAACAGCATCTGAACTCCAGCACTCAGGGGAACAGCATCCCAGGGACCACCCCAGCCACCTGCTGCTGTCTGCAGCCACCCTGAGGAGCTGGTCCTGGCCCAAAAAACAGTGGGATGGGAACGGGGTCAGGATTATCGACCAAACATCAGAAAGCAGCAACTGGCCGGACGAAGTGCCCCCCTACCCCAGGAAAAAGAGGAAATGGGGAAAAAGAAATGAAAACAGGTAAAATATAGATAAAAGTGTGTAACAGCATTTAAAATAGAATACAGCTTCACTGCCAAACTACATGCAAGCAGATCTGTGGCTACAGTACCTGCTACCCCCCAGAGATCTGTCCTCAGAGCAGGAGGACAAGGACTCCTGATGGTGTTGGGGTCCAGGGGTGCCCGGGCTGTTTCCAGGTCCCCACATCAGACACCCAGCTGTGCCAGGACTGCACCCCAAGGGGAACATCAGCTGACACGGACTTGCAGAGCACAAGTCTTCCCTCCAGTGCAGCACTCCAGCCCTCCCCTATCTATTTAATTAAAGGCCCTGCAGCCTGTGAACCTGCTACTTGGATTCATTAGTCAGAGAACGCCTAATTCTGCAGTTTTGCTAACGAACCTGCGGTGGGGGCCCGAGGTGGAAACAATGCTCACGCTACAAGCAGAGCTGACCATGAGTAGTTGCGTGGCATGTAGAGTTTGTTATTCCAAGCTGCTTAGTCTGGAAAATATTTCCACAATTAAGAAACTGAAAACAAACTCCAAAAAAGAAAATTTAAATAAATCAAATTACTGGGCACTGGAGAACAAGTTTGCAACGTGCTGCCCGGGGAAGGGTGCAGCCGGCGCTGCACGTGTCTGCTGCAGAGGAGACGTGTGAGCTGGGCAGCCACAGCATCCTGGGTGGACAGACAGAGCAACCCCCGTGCCCAGCCCAGCAGCCCCTCCCAACCCACCTGAGTGAGCCAGTAAGTGCATTCGCAGCCGCAAGCTGTCCAGGAACCGCTTCCCGCACAGCTCGCATCCGTACGTCTTCATCCCACTGTGCAGCTTCCTAGGGGAGAACAGAGAGGGGTGAGTCCTGGGATGGGGAGAAGTGACCCAAAACAACACCCAGAAACTGCCTGGTGCTTCCTGCAGCCCCCACATCGCCCAGAGTCACAGCTGGCTTGAGAGGGAGGGCACGGATGGGGGGTCCCACGTGACTCCCCAGGACTGAGGAGACAACCCTCTCCCCACCAGTGTTTGTCATTGTTGCTATTGTTGGAGTCTTTTAATAAACTTGATAATTCTGAAATCTGGAGTTAAGGCAAAATCTGTGTTGGCAAACTCCTTCCCCATGTTCTGAGTGCTTTTTAAAAAGGCACTGTACTCCAAAAAAAACCCCAACCACTTTAAGAGGTTGTTTGTGTGTATTTCTAACCAAATCCCAATTTCCATCCAAATTCAGCATGACACAAATCACAAGCAACAAACAGAGCCACCAGCTCGCAAACAGGAAACATGCCACTCACCGTTTCCTGGCAGCCCCAGGTACACAGCGAGCTACGCCCAGGCAGCATTGCACAACGCCGAGTGTGCCTCCCACCCCACGGGGGGCTCAGCATCCCCCACATCCTGCCTGGAGGGGCCTTCGTGCCCACGGCACTGCCCACAGGCACTGATCACAGCAACGGGTGCCAGGCTCAGCCACGGTGGCCAGACTCTGCATTATTGCCCGTTCCTTGCTGCGAAGGCATCGATGCTCCACCTCTGGGTGACCAAACTCTGGACCAAGTGGAATGACCTTTAATGGAGGCAGCATTGCAGGAGCACTGTCCAAGCCTGAAAATACCACCCCAATCCCATCTCCTTTCCAAGACATTGCTGCTGCCCCTGGCATTCCCCCCAGACCCATTTCCCCTCCCCTTTGGGACCAACCATTGCTCAGCCCCCACCACCCACCGGGGAGCACCCTGAGGCTCGGTCCCCACAACAGCCTGTGCTGCCAAGGGGGCACGGAGGGACACAATGCCCAGAACATGAGGAATGGGGGCTTGGTGCTTTATTTCCCCACCTCCACTGGTGACAAACAGACTCTTTGCAAAGCCACCTGGCTCTGTGCTGCACAGCCAGCTGATCAATGCCCCTGAGCCCCAAACGCATGGGCTGCTGCTCTCGGTCACCCTGAGCTGCTCAGACCTGTGGCTGTGGCTGGGAGACTCGGGACAGCAGCACGTGCAAAGTTTCAACATCGGATGCTGTAAACAGAGAAGTATTTGTGTGTGTTGAGGAGTAACACAGCCCATAGCTGTGTGCTGACCTCTGCTCGCAGCCACCATCTATCATCGCGCTGCAGCAGGACGAGAGTATTTCTATTGCCTTGCTGCCAAAGACAAAACAGGAGTGGTCCTGTCCAGGGCTGGATGTGGCCCCTCTCGCGGGAGGGCTCAGCCCCAGCTGTGCAGGCTTGCGAGGACCATGTGCCTGCGAGCTCCTGCTGCACCTCCCCGGAGGTGTAAGTTTTATTGGAGCAAAGCAGCTGCTGCTCTGACTCCAACAGGATCACCCCTCACTGCTGCACAGAGCCAGAGCCCCAAACCACCCCTGCCCCACAGGGCTCAGGGGCTTGTTCCCTGGCTGCCAGCCCCACATCCCACCCTGCAGGATACTGAACACCAGCTTGGGAAGAGTTGAACATCACCCCTGATGTTCAGCAGCGAGTGAATGCTGCAGAGCAGAGGGGAGAGGGAAGGAGCAGGAGCTGTTTCAACTCTCAACTTTGCTGTATAATGTAATTATTAATCAGGCTTGTCCTGAATTCACTGTGTCATAGCAGAGGATTAGGAGTCATGCACGAATTCAGGCCAAGAAGGTTTACAATCCAAAGGATTTATCCGCCCTGCAAAAATAAATAAAACACAAGCCTCCTGACAGGGCTCCGCTGCCAACGAGCAGCTCAATAAGTGACAACCTTCTCATTTTGCATTTTTAATTTGGGACATGCCTGTCACACTCCCTGGCTTGGGCTGAGCTCACTCCTGCGCTTAACACCGGGCTAAAACCACTTTGTTAGGAAGACCCACGTCATGCTGTGGGTCCACACTGCCCCTTCTGAGGCCAGAACACCCTTCCCTGAATTACAGTCTAACTGGTTAATTTTTTCAAGTAAAACATGGGGGGTTGGGGTTGTTTTAAGCAAGTCTCAAGAAACAGAGAAACAGAAGGACAAGCTTCCTTCCTCTGCATCTCCCAAACCTATGGCTGGCTCAACCTCTTCTCCCATTTTCCCAGCACAGAGTGGGGAAATAAGGAAATGAGGAGACCCCCAACCCCACTGGTGTTACAGTGCCCTGGAAATCCACCTGCCACTGCCCCCCATTTTCCCAGCACAGAGTGGGGAAATAAGGAAATGAGGAGACCCCCAACCCCACTGGTGTTACAGTGCCCTGGAAATCCACCTGCCACTGCCCAGGGCACTACCACGTCCCCAGATCACATCCTCTCTGCATTGTTTCAATGGGGCACAGGGGTGCTCAAAGAGTAATTTAGTTGCAATATCTCTATCAACAAATTTCAGTGGCAACAAAAGTTTTCCGCTCGGCGCCTGCTTCTAGGACGTTCTTATCACTCGCCATCTTGCACGGTCCCTTTCAACAAGGTCTTAAAGAGCTTTATCTGCTCCATTTCCCGGTAGCGAAATATGATTGAAACGTTCTATTTCTGCTCGCCGGATTAAGGAGATGTTGCAAAACTGCACAAAAACCTGGCAGATGTAAGCAAGGTATTACGGCTGCTCGGGCTGTTAAGATCTGAGGGGAAAGATCAATATGTGCTTCTGAAGTTGTGCCTCCAGAAAGAGGGGGCGGGGGAGTGAAGGGCGTTAAAATACATGCCAGCGCTGCCCAAACTCCGTGCCAAAAGATAAACCATGTTTTATTATTCTGACATGAGGCTGCAACTGTGCTTCTTTCTCCTGCAAGGTCCCTACAAGCACATCAGCCAAGAAGGCGCCCATGGGATGGAGAGCAGAAGCAAGTGGGAAAAGTGCCTTTTTTGTAAAAAGAAGGTTTTCCTCTCATTCCTACACAATGTCCCTCTTGAAGTGCGTGGAAACAAAGTCAGCCAAAGGGTCCAGGTGATGAGCTATCACTCGAGGATGCTCTGGCACAGAGGGTGGCCCAGGGCGATGAGGATGCCCAGGCAACAGGGATGCCCGTGGCACACAGTCCCAGGCCTGGATCCAGCCCGGCCCAGGAGCCCCAGCCCAGGCTTTGGCCAGGGGCTCTCCAGGCGGAATGCAAGCCCAGCGATCCCCCCTCCCTGCCCAGCCCCGCAAACAAAAGCCGGGCGAGAGGCTGGCCCCTCGCAAGCTGCCGGTAATTAAAAAGGCCTGTAAATGCCCCACAAAAAGCACTTCAAAGGCACGGCGACTCCAGCGAGACTGCGTGGTGTAAAAATTATGAGTTTTCCCCACAGGGTGCTTTGTGTGAAAAGGCCGGGCTCGGTGGCAAACGCCGCTGACCAGAGCTCGGGGATGCAGGGGCTTGGCAGGGCCTGGCAGGGTGCAGGGGTTTGGTGGAGCACACTGGGCATGGGCACGGGTGCAGGCCTGGCACCTAAAGACCCCTGCAAGTGTCCCACTGCCACCACAAGCGAATCTCTGCTCTGCCTGCCTAAAACCCTGCCTAAAACAGCCTTCTGCTCTCTTTACTTGAGGAACTCTTGCATCCCAGCCCCTCCCCAACCCCTTTTGGGAAGCAGGGGAGACCCCCTCCCCTCCCCTCCCTCTGTGCTGAAAAAGACACATGGCTCTTGGCTGTTTGATTACTTTTAAGTGTGTATTTTTCCCCTCAAACAGAGTGAATACAATGGTTAGGAAATTTGACAGAAAACTATTCCAAGCCATTTATTGCCTTAATGCGCACCTTTGTCCAACAGGCAGTTTTGACAGGAGCGATAAATTCCAAATTTATGTCAACAGAGCATATGTTGAACACCTCATTTCTGAGCTAAAGCGGCATGCTGCCCCATAAATCACCCTTCTGTTTGAAATGAAAGTAGATTACGGGCCCATGTTATTGAGCAGTTAGAGCCATAGTCATATAAATCAGAACTTTTAACTCCAGGCGATCCGTTCTGCAATTAACTAAAGGGCACTTTGTCATCTCTGGGCCAGGGCACAGCTTGGCAGGGTGGCCGGCTACCGAGGGAAGGCAAGAGCCCCTCGCTGCCGAGGAAAGGCACCGGTGCAGCTGAGGCTCACTCGGTACCTGTTGGAGCAGCGTGGGGCTGGAACAGCCTGGCATGGGAGACCCACGGCCGCAGGGCTTGCACATCCCTGCCCACGGATCCTGCCTGGTCCATGTTCTGGACACGAAACGCAGTGGGGGAATTGGGAGGATGCATGACACAAGAGAAACAGCAGAGTCTAAAGCCAGGCAGAAACACGAGAGAGTGCGGTGCTCAGAGTCCTGTCCCTACAGAAATCCGTACTTGGGACTTCCACAGTGGTTTTGCTGCGTCCCCCAATGCCCAAGCATCAGATCAAGATGCTCAGCCCACTGATCTCCCCCATCCATCGTGCTGCATTTCCCTGGTTTGTTCCCCTGCATCTCCCAGGAACGCTGTGCCATGGGACAGGGCTCCTGCGGGGCGTGGGGCTGGCAGATGCTGTGGGCAGTGGGACCAGAGGATGCTGTGGGGCTGGGGGACACTGCAGGGGCTCAGCCCTGTGAGTGCTGGCAAAGGGTGTGGGTGCGAGGGGCAACTCACACCCATGGGAGTGTCAGAGCTATAAAAAGATTCAGACACTAAGTATTTCCTTTCCTATAAAATATTCATTGCTGCACACCAGTGCCAGGGAGCACAAACCTCCAGTGGTTCTAACTTTGTGCCGCAGCAATAAGGGAGTTTTATGGGAGCCTTCTGATTTTATTTACACTGGGCCATCACAGTGGTGCCCTGCCAGAGGGGCAGCCACCAGCCAGACATGATGCACTGAACACTGGGCAGCCAAAATGGGACCAGCACCACTTGGCATTCCCCAAAAATCCTCCCTGCCACCCCCTTTCCCCCGGTGTCTCCCTTGCCCAGGTAAATCAATATGAA